TTGTCTTGTAGTAAATAAAAAGGGCGACCTGGAGCCAATCCTGCAACTTCCCCACAGGTGAAAGAGTTGACATGCTGAAAACCCAACGCCTGCAGGGGGGTCTGGGGGGATTCTCCCCCAGGAGATTTTTTGAAATACTAACATAAAATACACATTCTGGTACTCTCTTGAGAAGAAAAATAAATAAATCTATTACTACACGACATATTAAAAAAATTAATGCCATTTTAGTTTTTTGTTACTTTGTTCTGAAAGCTGAACCTGCTGCTCCTCACAGAGAGAAGAGGGAAGAGGCTGTGTGAATTACTTTACATTGTGGATAAGGGTGGATAGCCCCCATTGTTCTGTGTGTCAAAATGAAAGACAGCCCACACACCTATCCAGGGACGTGCACAGACATTTGGAGGGGCTATTGCTCTAAACTGGAAAAAGGGCCTCCCCCCGAAAAAAAAACATAAGACCTTTTTTTTCTGTAAAAGAAACCAAATGATTATTACATCAACTAAATTGAATAGTAATTCACATCTCATAACAAAATAAGCTAAGGCGACTACTTGCATTCGGTGACTTAATTTCAAAAATGAAAATCAGGGACATTTTTTGTTTTGCGGTCCATATCTCATTAAAATATCTAATGTTAGTAACTATTAAAGACAAAATGGGGACAATTCTGTTCTAATGTAGTTTGACCATTGTAACTGCTGTGCAGTCCAGACATACTGATAAAATAGGGCCTCTAACCAGGGGTTAAATTGGGCCGGGGCTGTCCAGGGCTGTCCGGGGCTCAGCCCCGGCACATAGGACGATGCTCTGACGTCATCGCCCTCGCTCATTTGTCATTTGTTTAAGCCATAATGTCAAAACATCTCTCGTTCTTAATATAGACTTTATTTAGGGTCGATATGTGTTCAGGATATCGTTTTTCCGCTTAGTGAACGTGTGTCTCTGCTCCGATCAGGAGCTGCAGCACCGTGGCTCCTTCGTGCAGAGAGTCTGCAGCGGTGTGTGTGTGTGTGCAGAGAGTCTGCAGTGGTACCGCCAAACCCCCGACCCGTCTTGTAACACGGAGCCCGTTTCCTACACCATCAGGGCCGGTTCTAACCAATTTGCTGCCCTAGGCGAGATTTTAGCTGGCCCCCCCCCCTGCCAGAAAATCGTTCAGTAGAACAGATAAAAGTATCCAAGGAATACACAATAGAATATATAAAAAATAAATGAAAAATCTCTACAAAAGACCAATGCACTACAAAAACAGAAACGTATTGACATAAGTCATATACATCAAAGGCTTCAAATGTATTCAGTATTATATGAACATATTTTAATTGGGGTGAGGACATCACATCCTCTAGGGGGGTCCGGGGGTATGCCCCCCCGGGAAGAAATGTTTGAACATTTAAAGTACTAAAATGCTTCAATCTGGTGCACTTAGAGCACACATTACTAGAGTACAACTCTAACGGCCCGTCCACACAGCGGCGTGCGTTGAAGCTTGCCGGCGGGCATGTATGAAACTCGACCAACAACCAATCACATGAATCTCCCGCCCCTGACATACAAGCAGCGGTTTGATTGGCTAGAGCTTGTACTGGCATATGATTCGATTGGCTGACGCTTCTGCCGTGGCTTCAAAACTTGAACATTGCTCAACTTTTGCAGCGAGTCACGCCAGCAAAGTGACGTCACCCCATTCAAAGTGAATGGTGAAGCTTTCAACGCACGCTGCTGTGTGGACGGGCCGTAAAACACCCATATGAAAAAGATTGGTTTACATTTTAATAATCAAATAAGTATGTGAACATAACCAATAACCTACCATAACCAATAGCAAATAAATGCAACTTATTTTATTTTTGTTGTTCATTCATATCTTATTTAATCTAGTTAACATTTATTTATGCATATTTTTGTATCTCTCAAGTTTTAAACAATATTTTTGGTTTACTGTCCTATAGTATACATTGAAATGATTTCAAACCTGTTTACCCCAATAATTATAAAAGAGTGCCTTGGAAATATTTGTTTACATAAATTGCATTTATCTCTCTCGCTCGATCCCACACCCACTTTGGCTGTGAGCTGCGGACGCCTGATAAGCCAACACCCCCCACTTTCATCAATTACAGCGCCCATCGTACAGGGCAAATGAAAAGTGTAACCGGGGTGAAAAGGGTGTTACCTTGACTTAATTATGAATGCCGTTACATCAAGGCCGAAAATTAGGATGAGCGCAAACAGTCAAAATGTTTTTTTTCCCTCCCAGAGCTGCCAGCGCAGCGCCCCCCCCCCAGATCTGGCGCCCTAGACGACCACCTATGTCGCCTATGCCAAAAACCGGCCCTGACTTAACCTAACAACTTATTTAATTTGTTTTCACAATTACTAATGTCATGTTTTTTTTTATTCTTGAAGAAAATGTCTTTTTTTCTGGCATTCTTCCAGGATTAACAAAAATAAGAATAACATTGCAAACTATCTTTGAAGTAAATGGCTGTTGTTAAACGCTTCCCACATTTACTTCAATCGTACAATAGAAAAGCTAAAAGTACCCAAGGAATACACAATAGAATATATAAAGAATAATTGAAAAATCTCTACAAAAGACCAATATACTACAAAAACAGAAACGTATTGACATGTTGGTAATATACATCAAAAAGGCTTCAAATGTATTCGGTATTGTATGAACATGTTTGAATTGGGGTGTGGACGTCACATCCTCTAGGGGGACCGGGGGTATGCCCCCCTAGGAAGAAATGTTTGAACATTTAAAGTAAAATGCTTCAATCGGGTGCACTTTGAGCACACATTACTAGAGACCTGACCTAGGGGTACAACTCTAAACACCCATATGAAAAAGATTTGTTTACATTTTAATAATCAAATAAGTATGTGAACATAACCAATAACCTACCATAGCCAATAGAAAATAAATGCAACTTATTTTATTTTTGTTGTTCATTCATATCTTATTTTACCTAGTTAACGTTTATTTATGCATATTTTTGTATCTCTCAAGTTTTAAACGATATTTTTGGTTTTCTGTCCTATAGTATACATTGAAATGATTTCAAACCTGTTTATCCCAATAATTATAAAAGAGTGCCTTGGAAATATTTGTTTACATAAATTGCATTTATCTCTCTCGCTCGATCCCACACCCACTTTGGCTGTGAGCTGCGGACGCCTGATAAGCCAACACCCCCCCCCCACTTTCATCACTTACAGCGCCCATCGTACGGGGCAAATGAAAAGTGTAACCGGGGTGAAAAGGGTGTTACCTTGACTTAATTATGAATGCTGTTACATCAAGGCTGAAAATTAGGATGAGCGCAAACAGTAAAAATGTTTTTTTCCCTCCCTGAGCTGCCAGCGCAGCGCCTCCCCCCCAGATCTGGCGCCCTAGGCGACCGCTATGCCAAGAAGCGGCCCTGTACACCATGCTAAATATGTCTGCATAAAGCTGAGTTATGATCGGTCATAATAACACAGAATTTGGTGATGATTAAATAGTTTACAGTGAGATTTACTCCCATACTTTTGGCCATACTCACGCAGCCCTACAAATGAATTGAGATTTCCAGACAAATGTTCTTTAGCAAGTGTGCAGAGCAGTGTTGATTTAAAAAAGCAATTTGAAGGTTGGATATTTGTAAACCTTTTTTTGTGTATATATATATTCATAATTTAAGATGTAAATGAATTCCAGTTTATTTGTAGTACTTTCTATTTTTATTTTGACATTTGGTGGCATCAATGTCTGCATTTGATACAGATAATGGAGCAGTTGCTTTAGGGCCACAGTGTAGGCCTATATCCCTTAAGGTCAAACAATGAGATCCTCGATCATGTTGATTCGGCCACAACAGAAAAAATAAAAATAAACTCTCGCTCTCTCCAGAGGGGCAGGTCAGCAAAAAAGGCCAAACGGGCCGTTGCCCTGGCAACATTAGCCCGTACCTGTGCCCGTCCCTGCACCTATCAATCATCAAACCGTGGGGTCTTATTTCATTACGTGTTGATTTCTATCAACACGTAATGTTTTATCGATGTATATAGAGATGTACTACAGCAAATGTATTCTCCGTCGGGACTTCCTGGAACAACACCACGCCGTTATCTTGATTCTGATTGGCCAGAAGACATTATCAAAGATGTTCTATTGAGAAGACGTTCACTACGTGACAAAAGTTTTCAAAACCGTTTCTAGTCTTCGGTATTCTTGTTTTTGGCCTGAGAATAGTTTGGGCAGCGTGAGAGCGTGAGATTGAGAGTGAAAGCGTGTGTCACACGCCAGATGCGTGAGAGTTGGCAACCCTGCCTTAATAATATAAAGGCTTGTATTTGCGTGCATTTCCTGTTTGGAAAGTGGCGCTGTACTGAGAGTGGAGGGTGTCCTGAGATTAGCGCCTGCAGGCAGGCTCCATGGACCTGTCAGCTCCGGACTGCGCAAAATGCGTACATGAAGCGCTACGTCATGAACGCAAGAAATCTACCCTTGTGGGGGCGCGCTCATGTGATTGGCTTAGAATTGAGGAGACATCTGATTGGCTATAGATAGAAATAATTACAAGTACGAATCGGCTGACCGTCAGGGGAGTCTCAAAAAAACCACACACGAATGCACAGCGATCCGTGCACAGAAAGCTGTTTGTGTTTGCAGGTTCAGAGGATTTAAACGGAAAACAAATATGTGAGGATCAAAAATACATATGTAAAACTTTTTTCTGTATTTGGATTTTATTTACATGTATATGAAACGGAATACATTTGTGTGTGCATTGAAAAACACAAGTGTGAATCCTTCTGTGCGCATGTGTGTATTATGAGACTGTTCTGAGCCCATAGGTTTGTGGTTTTATGGGGTTTTCCAGTGTAATGCTGGTGTGATTTGTAAGTTATTTTCCTGTTCTAAAGTCTAAAGTCTTTCAAACAAGAACACATTTGGATCGCAGGAGTTTATATGTTTATCTTTGTAAGAGATTAGATGCAGTCATTACCTTAAAGAAGCTACCGCTCCTGTCTGTGAGGCCGCTGGGGGGGTTCCCAGGCGGCGAGCTGGAGGCCATGTTGACTTCCTGTCCACAGGACTGGGTCCCTCTCAGCGTCTGCAGCTCTGTGGGTCAAAAATACACTTCAGTCCAGACACTTGGTGCGGTGCAACCAGAGGAAATTCCAGTTTTAGCCACAGTCAGTATTATTGAGGTGCCGGTCTGCTGGAAAACTTTCAATGTGACTCTCTCCCTTCTCTCCCCCCATCTTCTAGCCTTGAACACATTCACATCTCCTTTCATTTTCCTGCCTCTTCTGTCTTTGTTCCTTCTTTCCCAATCTTCAAGATAATTGCTTAGTCCTTTTCTATCTCATTCCAATCCTCAGTTTATGTTTGGCCTGAAATCTGTCCTCTTTCCTCCTCCTCTCACATTTCATTTGTCCTTTATTTCTTTCCCTATGTCCGTACATACTGAATTCCTTTTCCATCTTGTCTTCAGTTCAAGGACGGGGACCTTCTCTCCCATTTCAACAGAAGGTTGCTTCGGTTTATCTCTCTTTTTTAATATGTAATCTCTGTCAATGTGTCCCTCCCCCTCCTTCTTTCTGTCTCCCTGTCTCCCCCTGGTCTCCAGCCAAACTAGGACTATTAGAGAGCCCCTCCCCTCCTGGCAGAGGTTCACTCAGTCCTCAAAAACAGATGAGATGCTCCATTTGTCTATCAGTCTCCCACATGCACTTTTATCTCACACAGGAAGGAAGCCATCACCCCCCACCATCGCAGGCTCAGGGGGAGAAGAGGAACAAACAAAAACAACTGAGGGAGAGAGTGAGGAGAGTTAGGCTGAGATTTCTCACTTTCAGACAATCAAAGTTGGAACTATTTTTAAGTGCAGGGAGTTTTGTTCGGCAGCATTTAGCAAAATGGAAAAATCAGTAAAAAAACAAACTGGCCACTGTGGCCGGGTTTAACAAGGCAGGGAGAAAATAATTGGGCCATATCGGCCACATTTGCAGTGGCACTTTTTTATTGAATTCAAGTTGGACGATTGTGAAAGTTTAACCTGTTGAGCCCCGAGCCTGTTTTTCAGGTCTCAGGCTGGAAAATGACATTCCCAGAACAAATGACCATATCTTCTAAAAGGGGTAAATGAATTATCTTTGCTCTCAAAGCAATGATACACCTGTGAGTTCATTCATTTCATTTCAATCTTTATTTCCAATAGATTAAAAAAATAAAAAAATAACAAATGTGAAAAACAGAATACCGTATTGTTAAAATACAGTATTTATCCACATTCATGATAATATTTATATATTCAACAAAAAAAATCTTCATATTAATAATAATAATAAATCATATGTGTCCGAAAGGGAGCAGGAGGAAGCAAATGCTTATTAATTCCCACCCCTTACTTGATCAATGATTGTCCTTTAAATCATTATGCAAGTTATTCCTACTTACATTTACACATACAATCATTTCTCATCTTCAATCACCTCTCTTCATTCTCATAGTTTTCCAAAAAAGTGTTTCTGTACATCCAAAGTTGGATGTAGAAAAGTCAGAATCAATATAGATGTTTTTATTTTAAAGTAAATTCAGATTGAATATAAAATGTAAATTATAGTGTCCGTCCAAAAACAACAACATTACTTATCGTGAAAACCCTTAAATGATGGGTTAGTAGACTAAAAGCTTTAGGAATCCAAACTATAACATATAATAAGTACCCTGTATCAAGATTGATGCAAAACAAGTGACATTTGACCTTTTTAGAGAGATTTAGAAAAAATAAACCACTTTGGGGTCGTTTGGGTGGATTTTCCATATCTCTGGAACCCATCGGTCGATTTTGATGATTGACACCTCTTTTGAACCGTTAGAGCCAATGGAATCGAGAGGGAGTTCCTAAAATCCATCTAAACATTAGCCATTGGTGAATAGAGTGATGCGCAGCCAGAATGCCCAACACCGGAAGCTGTCATACACTCTCATAGCTATCATAGCAGCTATATATGAAAACTCAGTTTTTGCCATAAATATGAAGATGGATTATCAGTAATCATTTCAAAGTGACACAGACACATTGGACCCTCCGTCTGAAATCAGAGCCCAGTCTGCTCTGATTGGTTAGCTGGCCGGCTCTGTTGTGATTGGTCAACCGCTTAGAGATCCCCGCCCCTTAGCATCACGTATGTGTTATGTTACAGAAGGGTGTGGCAGAGAAACACAGAGAAGAGGGAACTTTAGGATGTCACTCTTTACCGACTATTTACAAGCACAACAACCATTCAAACATACTACTGGAAGGGGAAACCCCAGAAAGCTGACAGGAATGACAGAATAATCAATAAAGGAAATACAGCCCAACAATCTGCAATAACGGCACAGAGACGGTAACATTTCCTGAGTGTCTCAGAGTGAAACTGATGGCATCACGGTTACATTTCCACACAGTGGGGGAAACAAACATATTGAAAGAAGGGTCAGAGATTGTGAGATACACATTTAAAAGATACAAAACGTTCCCACTGAGAACATTTTAGTTTGTGTTGACTTCATATTCTGCTGTTTTCATTCCAACCTAATGCTAGTGGCGTGCCAATGAAAGCTCTGACAGTAGGGTGAATAATCATGAACAGAAAGCATGCTGGGTATTGTAGGACACAAGAGGAACTCTCACCAGGTTAGATTTAGCTCTTCTTGGTCAAATGGGAATGTCCTGAAACCCTGCCGCAAAAACACTGCAATCACAATCATTTGTTGCCAAGTCAGTGCAAACAAAGTCCAATCTGAGCATGCACCCCCCCTCCTAGAAACACAAAGAAGCCCCCTGGCTGTGCAGCACAGCAACATCACAACAAGACTTCACACTGATATATAATCTAGCCAGATATATAGACACAGTTAAATATCAAGACGTGCAAACACATAACAACTAATCACACAGTTTGAGAAAAAGACACACTTAATTGTGTTGTACATAATAACAGAACAGAAAGACAGCCGGACTTCATAAGGCTCTGGTATTTGTGATGCTGAGACCCTCATCTTATCCCAGTGGGGGTCATATTATGAGCAGTCTTTATCAGTGCTAATAAATAGCTTCAGTGTTTGATGCTTGTGAATACAGATGTCTGTTGTTTTCATTATAAATTCTACTTAACTATGATTAATGATCAAGGTCTTATTTTTGGCTTACAACTATAACCTCAGTCCATTTGACTATTGATCTAACTATGTATCAGTTGTAACTAGTCTTTGAAGATGAGTAATAGGCAGACTGCACACACCAGAACATTTGACTGCTTTCTGTCGTGATGTAACATGCTGTATGAGCAAACATTAGAATACAACAGGACCTCATCTTATCATATTAAACCAGGAAATGATTTAGCCTTATAGCACTTCCGGGATCCCTCGTCTTGAAGTCAATTGGGTTTTTTGGGTTACATTTTTGGTTATATTCCTGACATAAGATGTGTGGTTAACAGAAGTTTAGTGTTTCCGTTTTTGAGTTTGAAGTCTGAAGGTTTTATGTGTTTTAAAAACAGTCGTGGCTAACAAGTGGCTAAATGAGACTTTTACGCTGAACATTAGCCGCCTTTAGCTTAGCGGTGCTGACAGAGGCCCTGATGTGGTTTGTTTTGAACCGAACATTAGCTTTTTACTTCCGGTCATTTGCTTTTACGCTTCAACTATTACAAAGTGGTGTTAACTTGTAGAAATGATCCTGCTGAACAAAACGTGTAAGTATCATAAACGTGTGTTAGCAAACAAAAAAAACATAGATTTTTGTCAAGGAAGCCCTATACTATAGTGATGCTAACTTTTAGGTCCGCCTACACAAACACTTAATCACTGCCCCACTCTACTGCATGTCTGTCAGTCCTGGGAGTGATCTCTCTGCAGTACCTGAGGTTTCCTCCACTTTTCTCCTTTGTTAATCCACTGAGGATCAAAGGACAGAGGGTGTCACATGCTGTACAGATTGTAAAGCCCCCTGAGGCATATATGTAATCTGTGATAGTGGGAACATAAATGAAACTTGACTTGTTGCTATTCCCTCACAGTTTCTCTGTACTTGTTAGACTAACATAAGGTTTGTGTGTCAGTAGTGAGATCTACTGAAGGCTAACAAACAGGGCTCCATGCTGCTGGAGGAGGGAGCTGCACACAGTAACCACTGCAGAGGAGAAGAACGTCCACAAGTGGGTCCTGTTCTGGCCCTGAGGCAAACCAGATGATCCTGTGTGTGTGTGTGTGTGTGTGTGTGTGTGTGTGTGTGTGTGTGTGTGTGTGTGTGTGTGTGTGTGTGTGTGTGTGTCAGGAGGACAGAGGGAGGTATAGGTTGACCTATTATTTTTACATACCAAACACGGCAACACATTTTTCTTTCAAAACCGCTCCAAAAATCTTTGTTGTGTGTGTTTGTGAGCCACAGAGCTGGTTGTGTGTAAGTGAAGCTGAACCCACTGGCCCATGTTGTGTTGGTTATAGAAGGAATGTGTTCACTGGCGGATTTTTTTACTCAAGGATGGAAGGTTAGGATTACTTTCATTTTTTTTCCGTGGAATGTTTATGAACCTCCTGTCAGTCAAACACCAGCCTGACCAACATCCTGACCTCTAATCACAGCTTTACAAGTCTGCAGCAAATGCTCCAAATCACCGTCAAACTTCATACGGCACTGGAATAAATCACGGTGAGAAACAGGCACCAGCACCGCCCAAAACTCTCCATTAAAGATCACCCCAGAAAAGTCAGCACTGTTTCCTCTGGGCTACACCCCTCTAAATTAGTACCAGGAACACATGCTCAGACAAAGGGTCCAGGAGTGAAGTGTCTCAAAATAACTTTGTTGAGATTTCAGGGGAATACAGGGAGGAATAAAGAAGAGCAGATGGAGAAGATGCTTTCAAATGAACGGAAATAGTGTAATCACCTATTGCGCTTGTTATTGTTGAGTCACGGATGAGAAGGGTAAACACACACCGGAAAGTAGATTCAAATGACTTTGGCTCAGTCATGCTGTAAACAAGACAAGGTAAGCAACCAATCAGGCGACATGCCCTGCCCCCGGACCCCCAGAGGCCTCACTATGTGGCAATTAAAGTGTGGTATTTTGATTAAAGAACAACATCAACTGAAATTATAGTCTTTAAGGGGCTGCCTGCCCAAATATGGGCCTTTCATGTAAATGCATCAGGCGAAATAAAAAGCTAACGTAATGCTAAAGGTGTAGTAGTTAATGTCTTCACTTGTTAGCAACCGCCGCTTTTATGAAACTTTGGACTTTCCCAAGTGTGGTTTTTCCTTATGTATTTTGTGTCATAGAACAAAATGTAAAACTCTTTTCAGCATGAGTAAACCACAGACCGTACTTAAGTCTTTTGACCACAAACACATTCAAGAAACCTTTTACAGATGCAAAATATCTCTACAGCTCTTTATGTAACATAAACAATTGCTAAGTAGACAGATACAAACCTTGTTACTAGGCAGACATGATAGAAACAATCCTGGAGTCATGGATTAACATCAATAAATAAACTCAAAGAAAATAAGATGGTTCTTAAAGCTTAGGATCTTTTTAAAAAAATTCATGTTAAGGTGCTTTCTTCAGTATCTAAAGAAGGAGATGCTAACAGCTAATGCAGCATAGCCCAAAATGCCAAAGTGTAAACAGACATTGCTAAAACTAGACTTGCTGCTTTGAGGTTGTCCACCTCCACCATCCAGTCAAGTTGCAGATTAAATCAGAGTCGGCAATTGGTTTGCCGATTTTGTCTTTTTGGGTGATTTTCTATTTATTTGAGCTATTGCCCCTTTCACACCAAAGAGGTTCCCGTTCTAGCTCCGTGCTTGTGCTCTTCTTGTTCGGAACCGGTATTTCTTTTCAGCCCCCGTTTTGTTCACACCGCCCAGAGCCCGACTGGTGCTCACAACAACAACAACAATGGGGGACTGCGTCGGGTCGATGATCGTGTTACATACAAAGCCAGATTAAATTAAATAACAACTTCTCCAAGCTTATACTTTTCTCCAGAGTGCCGTGGTTCATTGTTTATGTGTTTCAGCTGCATTTACCGACCGCTGCAGTGCTGCTCGTCCACCGGAGTTTATTCTCCCGTTATTCTCCCGTTATGATTCTACTTGTGATAGTCGGACATGACAACCTGTGCAGCCCATGTATTGATTCCATCCGATAGCTGCTATAATACAAAACACAATGATTAATAACAGTGAACGGATGGTCAAAGTAAGGTACAAATAAACAGAATCACACGAAGCCTGGTTAGTGTTGCCTGACTTTATAAAGTGTGTTTTTTTTATAAGTGTGTGGTTGCGTTCTAGTCACTTTGCTCAGCGCTACTGCTTGTTACAACTTTCATTTGCCGTACTCGCCATAAACTGTTAGCTCAGGTTAATCTCGCCCCTGCCCCCGCCTCTGACGTAAGCGTGACGTATGCGGTTCTTGCTTCGAGACCGCATTTTTTTTGGGTGCTTGGTAAGCACCGGTTTTTGGTGCTAAGAGTCGGCTCCGCTGCGGTGTGAACAGGAAAAACCGGTGCTTATCAGGCTCTAGCTCCTAACCGGTCCTGGAACCGCGTTGGTGTGAAAGGGGCATATGAGGGTGGGTTTGCCACAGATCTTATTTTCTGCAATATTACGAAATTCAACGGAATAATCCCCTTGGCTTTTTGTCGAGGGTGCCCTTGCGATGCTTACTTTCGGTGTAACCTACAAAATAAGGTTTTCAAAGTTCACTAACATGGTCTTTATTGATGCATAAAGCTGAAAGTCATTTCAGTTTGCAGAAAAAGAAACAGCAGAGCTCCAGTGTTAGACGTGATGCTGCAGAGTTACAGCAGACATCAGTGTGGCTCCTGTGAAAGCGCTCAGTGTTAACATCCCCCACAGGGAGAGTTTAATCACCGCGGTAACCTGAGAGGCTGCTTCCTCATCCAGCCATGATGACATCACCTTTCATAAACCTGTGGAGTTCGGGGTTCTGCGTTGAACGTACAGAGAGAAGTGGTTTGGCGAAAGTTTACTTTACAAATCGGATATTTAAAGCAGAAAAGTCTGAAACATGTATTTAGGAATATAAAAATAAAACACCCAAAAGAAAGCGAAGGCAGCATTAGTTGTCTTTTGCAGGTCACAGCGGACACACAACTCCCAAAACGAAACATGTTATGGCAAGTCTTTTTTATTGAAATACCTCACTGCTGATGCATTTTCATATAGAAGCACATAACGAGGGCTCTTCGTGCCAACAAGCCTGGTTTCTGCAGTGAAGCTAATCTCTCGAACAGATTCCAAAGCAGCTTAAATTAGGAAATTGGCTCCTTCCTTACATCGATAAACATCAGACTACTGCTTGTTTAGACAAATAAGAGAGGCCTAAACGATATCTGAGCAGCAGGAGAGTCTGTAACATGTTGTTTTCAGTCGGGTTCAGACGGGTCTCACATATTTCTGATGTCAAATCATCACCTCAGGAGAGGAGGATGTTGCAACATGTTCATCTATTCTCATAATCTAAACACTGAATTATAATACATGGAAAAAACAAGTAAGGGACTGTTTGAAAATGATGAGAGGGCAGAATTGAGGGAGCTCTGTGTACTTTTTGTTCTAGAAATGGCAGTCTGACTTTTAGGCGAGCATGGGAAGATGTTTATTTTTAGTTCAAATTTATATTTTAGCATAATGTATTTTATAGCTATTTTAAATCCAAGGGTCTGCAAATGTATTGACTAAGTGACGTTTGTTATGAAGCTTCAGCTACAAACATTTTCAATATTATAGCATTGGCTATCTATACTATGTACATTGTTGGAAATGAATACTTTATCAACATATTAAGGTTGAAGTTGGAATGCACCATGTTTCATACACGTCAGCTCTCCACAGCGATCTGACACACCTGGAAGAACCAAACAGTTATGTGAGGATGCTGTTTGTGGATTTCAGCTCCGCATTCAACACCGTTATCCCCCAAAACTGGTCAGCAAACTGGACAACCTTGGCCTTGGTTCTTCGCTGTGCTCATGGGTCATGGACTTTCTTTCAGATCGACCACAACAAGTCAGAATCCTTAAGCACACATCATCCACCTCATCCTAAACACAGGAACCCCACAAGGCTGTGTGCTAAGCCCTATGCTCTTCACACTTTTCCCCCATGACTGCACCCCCTTCAACACCATAATTACATTTGCAGATGACACCACAGTAGTCAGGCTTATTACAGATAATGAGTAGATGGCCTACAGCGGGGTTGGCAACCCCTTTACATTATTTAATAAGAATTATTGTTGCATTTATGTCCTCATCACTTCAAGGTTGCACACACAATGGCCAAGTACTTGATTTGACTTTATATTTTGTATGAAAAACCTCAATCTGCAAAGTAACTAGTAACTAAATATATCAAATTAATTAAGTGGAGTAAAAAGTGCACGTTGCCTACAAAATGGTGTGAAGTATAAAGTAGCATATTATAAAAAACCTCAAGTAAAGTACAAGTACCTCATTTGTTTACTTAAGTACAGTACTTGAGACAATGTACTTACATTACACCACTGTTCAAAACAATATTTGACCCATTAAATGCAGAGGAATTAAGCTGCTTCCAACTTTTAAAGTGCTTTCCACTTTGGATAATACATCAGTTTTAGTCCACTTAATGAACAACAGGTCTTAAACTCAGTGCAACACAATGTCACAAGAGTTAGGGTCAGTATGTGAAAACACTTCATGTTGTTAGAAGCGGGAGTCATGGTCCAGGGTATCGTGCTGCACAAAGACATCTTGACTCACCTCGAAGTGGTTCACTGCGGCAGAACTACAGCGGACTGCGGTCCGGTTCTGCTCCATGGAGGAGAGGAGGCATGTCCGCTGCTCTGTTAACGGTCTGTTTTCAGCTGACAACGAGAAACACCACTGTCCCAGCCGCTCTGTTATGGTTCACCGCCGGACACACCGACACCGGGATGGGGCTCAGCGCCTGGGGGAGAAAGACGAGCGAGCGAGCGAGAGAGAAGAGCCGCGGTAATCTGACGCCTCCTCCTGATTGGCTGAGGAGGTGATGACGATTCTCACCTTGATTTTGGATTTGACCATGAAATGTTGATTTTTATTTTACTTTTTTTGTATGTGTAGCCTACCTATTTACCCCTGATGTTTTTTCACGTCTAAGTAAAATAATACATCAATAAATACGTTTTCTGATATAAATAGGGGAAACAGGCAGAGGGAAAGTAATACAGAAGTAAATACAGTAAAAAATATTTTTACATCAAATGTAATCAATTATTATGAATGCCTACATGTATGTTTAATATGACCTAAGGTTTATTATCAAGTAATTCATTTGTATTCTTGGCCGCTGTTCTTCAAACTTAAGAAAATGATCTCGCTCTTTCGAAGTCTCTCTTGGTTCTGGAGAGTCTCCAGAGGGTTTATCAGAGCAGAAAGAAGTGAGCAGTGTCAGTGAACCAAAACACAAATATGGCAGGAAACCAACATAAATAGCTAGACAATGTTACAATAAAATAATGAAAATGCTGAGTTAGTGATAATAATAATTGAGTTCATCATTAAGGGAGATTTCACCAAACACCTAGCAGTGGGTAGTGGTTTAAATTAGCTTAACATTACCATTAATGCATCAATAATAATAATTTTAAAAAAATAACACATACGGTATTGAAAAATTTACTTTAGAGACAAGTTCAGCTTAAAAATAATGATTTGTGCATTTAATGTAAAAAATGATTGTGTTTTTCATTAGACCCTCGAAAAAAGTGAAGACAAGTATGCTGTGAACAGTATGTGTCTCACTTTATTGTTCTGATAGGTTGCTGTGAAACAGGAAGGTAATCAGAAGTCATCAGTGTGTGTAAATCAGTTTATTGCAAGAAGACCACTGGGAACATCTTCCTCTCTCTGAACTCTGCCCAGAGGTCCTCATCAACAACAAAAAGGATTTACACACCGTTGAAGAGCATAACACGACATTAATTAGCCGAACTGTTGCAGGACTACAATCTAAATACAGTATATATATGTGGAATATAACTGCTCATCAGAAGTTCGTGTTTCTAATAGCATATCCCTCTGATGTACAATACTTTTTTCATCTTGAAATGCATTTAAATTACACACAAAATAATCGGAATCATGGAAGAGGCATGCAAACCCACCAGTATTTATCTCTACCTGAAAATATACCAAAGCCACTTCCCGTATAATAACCTGTGAATATTAAACACGGCTCTACAGCGCTCTCTTGTGGCCGCAGAAGGACACTTTTAATTAACCCTATGAGCATTACAATTCTTCAGCTAAAAACTAAGATCAAATCAAAATATCTTCCACATTTGTAATTTAGAACACATGCTGAAACAGAGTAACAATACTGCTGACACAGGTGTTTTTTTGGCTCAAAGACAAGCAGGAGAATAGCAACAAGTTAGCTTTGAAGCCTCCAAAATACAAGTGATGGAACAAGAGTTAAAGCACTGTGTTTTAAGAAACGTTATGTTGTGAAAGTTCAAAGAACGGACTTCCTTATCGGAAAGTCAATCTCCCACAACCATCACTCATCATTTATTCGACGTTCAAGACTCTCGTGCATCATCGTCGAAAAAACCACCGGGTTTGTGCCAATATACAAATGTTGCAATATCTTTTCAAACTATACAAAACTTATAAATGATCTATTCTTAAATATAAACAACATCAAATCCGTTTCCAGTACTCAGATTATATATTAGGTATACAGTACACTGTACAGTATTCAAAGAGTCCCGTTAAAATACACTGTACACGATCCAAAGGGCGGGGAACTGGCGGTAAGACATGATCTTTGAATAAATTAATTCATAAATAAATCATGATTATGTCTTCCCAGCAACAGTGATGTCCTTGGGTCCTCTCAAGACTTACACACACACATGCACACACACGCAACCTGACTCTTAAGTACTCCTACTATTCTAAAAATACTTTTGGCTTTAAGAGGTAAACTCAACTCAAAATCTAATTCTTAAATATGTACAATAGAGGGAGCTCTAAAGTCAGTAGTTATATGTTAGAGTACCTGTAGAGGCTTTGCAATGAGAGAACAATCAATAAAGTGACAGTGCTGGATGCCAGTGGCAGGCAGATCCCTTCCCTATGTGGGTTTTACCAAAGGAAAATAAAGCCTATGTGTAGTAGTGGATAAGCCTGTAGAATATGTGGAAAGTATTAAATATGTGGATTCCGTCAGTGCAAAGCTAAAGTCGACTTGGGGCTCGTACAGCATGCTGTGTCCGCAGGTACTGAGCATCCAGACATGGTAAAGCATTTGGAGAGTATTTCTGAAATCACAAAATAGTCACTGGATCGTACAGCTTGGTGACTGATCCAGTTGTGCATAAGAGAATCCCATACATCAGTTAATATTATATAATCTTCAAATATATATACAGCCTGTTTTTTTACTTAAAAATACCTTAATTGTGTGCTTTTATTCCAAACATTTATGTACAAAGAGTAACAAACAATCCAGCTAAAAATGGCTCTGCAGGATTTCCCTCTTTCCTCCGTCAGTTACAGTAGCAGCTCCTGCAGCATCAGTCCTGTCGGTGTTCACACACTCCAGCCTACCTCCCGGTGCTGGGACTCTCTTCACGCCTCCGTCGGGTCCAAAAAAAGTCCTCTGTCTTCTGTCTTGTGTGTATTGCACCAAAGATAAATCATATGGAGCTCTAATTTCTGTCTAAAAGTAAAAGGTTTCAGGGTGCAGAGAATCTGGAAGCCATGTGAGGTTTCCTCCATGGACATGAGGAACAAGAAGACAGGAAGAGGGAGAAGGGGGTCAGTGGATGTCTCGACACATGGGCAGGTTGACGAAGACGAAGACGTTGAACTCGATGAGGATGGAGATGCAGAGAAAGATGGCGTACAAGATGATGCAGGCCAAGCCCAGTCGCCAGTCCAGAGTCCATTTGTTCAAATGGACACCGAGAACCTGTAAATATGGAGGAATCAGTAAGAGGGAGGAAATGATGACTACAGCACACAACTATTCTAAACACTTAGAGATTATAAACACTGTTTGTAAGCAATTCTTGTTTGAATGATATGATTCAAGGGTGTAGGGACTATAGAGCGTATACTGTATGGCCCAATTCCAAACCGCCCCCTATACCCTACCCCTACACACTACCCCTCCGTTGGGTTATGAAGCCCTCAAACAGCGAGTCTGCATCAGTGCTGACTCCACCTGCAGCTCCACCTGACCGGACTCAATGCTGTGCGTGTCCGTCAGGAAACAAGCTGTTTACTAATAGTTCCGTGGAAACATTCATTGATAAACTGCACAACAAGAGCTATTTCATATCTTCATAAAGATGTTAATAACTTCATGGTCACCTCGTGTTTGTTTAAACTTTGGATCGTTTACTCATGTCTAGTCTAGAAAACGGTAAAAGTTGTGTATATTTACTCTGACTTTTGCGAAAACTAAGCGGCTTCTAAACATCAGATTTTAAAACAAAAATATGTTTACAAAAAATATATTTATAATAATATATATATTTTTAGAGTTTTATTTGAGTTATTTTGAATCCAAGAGATGCTGATTTGAGACCGTTGTTAAGTATTATGGCATTTCCTGTTACTGCCGGAGAGAGGGGAGTTTGTCCCAAAGCTTGCCGCTGTATTTACACCCTCCATCTGAAAGAAGGAGGAGCCTCTTTAAGCTGCGAGTGTGACTACAGACGGAGTTCACTCCATCACGGACGGAGGGTGAGTGGGTAGGGTGTGGTTTGGAATTGGGCCTAAGAATCTTCATGCAGTCATCGTGACATTAACCATTGGTCAAAACATTTCTTTCTCGCTTGATACACATTTGATTGATATAAGAGTTGGCCTTAATGGCTGGTTTAAAGCCTCATCCATTCAGCATTATGTTCCTTTGGTCCATTATGGTCCCATTAGGAGCAGGGCTGCGTTTCACTTCTCTTATTTTGAATTTCCTCGCTCCCGTTGACAAATCAACTTCCGGTGATCCGTCCCAGTGGCCTTATTTCTGCCTGAGGAGCGAGGAGCGATAATGGAGGAGCGATAACCGAGGAACCACCAGACCATCCTCCGATGAAATCCTCAGATACTCGCCCCGCCCCCTTACTGTGTATCGCTCACTGATTGGACGATGCAGTGCATGCACTGATCTGATGCTTCTTGACATGAGAGCAGTTTCCCAGCGGAGTGAAGAAAATACATGAACCTCACGGGAGTCACTCCTCAGTTTATACCGTGTTTTGTTTCAATTAATGTTTCATTTAGTTACAAATATGTGATATATCTGAACAACAAAGTGGTCAAAAATCATTTTATTCATTTTTTGGAAACATTTTCATGATCGCTTTTTTCGTTTTACATTTTCATTTATTGTCATTTCCATTCAGTCAGTCATTAAGTGCTATTAAAATGTTAATGTGCTACATACCACAAACACACAAAGTGTGCAATCCAATGAATGTTAATCTAACTGGGTTTTGATAGATAACATATCTCTTTTTCTTCTCTCAATTATTTTATTTCTATTGTGCACTCTAATCAATATTAATCAAACTATTGTTCGTTTATACATTTTAAGAATGGCGTTTATCTTTTTTGAGAATGAGTTCTTATTTAATTTTATTTATTTGGGTCTACAACAGATGATACAAATGTTTGTGTCAGTAAATGTGTACTAACCGAGGCGGGGGGGTGTGTGTAAATAACGGGGACAGAGCTGCTGTCAGACGATCAGCTGTGCGGCGTCATCACAAACGGACGTCGCTTCACGTGATGCTCCGGAGGAAAGGACGTCCCATTGCTCTTAAAGGTCCCATGTCATGGCCATTTCCACTGATCATAATTCCATTGTTGAGGTCTACTAGAATAGATTTATATTGTGCAATTTTCCAAACTCACATTGGTTTCGCATACAGCATCTCTGTAAAGTACGTGTATTCAGCAGTATTCACTCTCTCCACTAAACGGCTCGTTGCAGCTCTTGCCCCCCCCCCCCTCCCTGTGAGCCCAGTGTGCTCCGATTGGTCGGGACCAGTCGGGACGTTGTGAATCGCGCTGAGCTCCGTGGAGGTGTGGTTTCCTTGTTTAGCGAAAGCGAAACACAGCTGAGCACACACAAAGTCACAGCCGAAGTAAAAACAATAAGTGTGGCTTGATATTGAGTAAGAAAAAGGTTGATAAACGCTGTGAGAATGGGTCTGCAGAGAGAATGGGTCTGCAGAGAGAATGGGTCTGTAGAGAGAACGGGTCTGCAGAGAGAATGGGTCTGCAGAGAGAATGGGTCTGCAGAGAGAATGGGTCTGCAGAGAGAATGGGTCTGCAGAGAGAACGGGTCTGCTGTGAGAATGGGTCTGCAGAGAGAATGGGTCTGTAGAGAGAATGGGTCTGCAGAGAGAATGGGTCTGTAGAGAGAATGGGTCTGCAGAGAGAATGGGTCTGCAGAGAGAACGGGTCTGCAGAGAGAATGGGTCTGCAGAGAGAACGGGTCTGCAGAGAGAACGGGTCTGCAGAGAGAACGGGTCTGCAGAGAGAATGGGTCTGCTGAGAGAATGGGTCTGCAGAGAGAACGGGTCTGCAGAGAGAACGGGTCTGCTGAGAGAATGGGTCTGTAGAGAGAATGGGTCTGCAGAGAGAACGGGTCTGCAGAGAGAACGGGTCTGCTGAGAGAATGGGTCTGTAGAGAGAACGGGTCTGCAGAGAGAATGGGTCTGTAGAGAGAATGGGTCTGTAGAGAGAACGGGTCTGCAGAGAGAATGGGTCTGCAGAGAGAACGGGTCTGCAGAGAGAATGGGTCTGTAGAGAGAATGGGTCTGTAGAGAGAACGGGTCTGCAGAGAGAATGGGTCTGCAGAGAGAACGGGTCTGCAGAGAGAATGGGTTCTGTAGAGAGAACGGGTCCTGCAGAGAGAATGGGTCTGCAGAGAGAATGGGTCTGCAGAGAGAATGGGTCTGTAGAGAGAACGGGTCTGCAGAGAGAATGGGTCTGTAGAGAGAACGGGTCTGCAGAGAGAATGGGTCTGTAGAGAGAACGGGTCTGCTGAGAGAATGGGTCTGCAGAGAGAACGGGTCTGCTGAGAGAATGGGTCTGCAGAGAGAACGGGTCTGCTGAGAGAATGGGTCTGTAGAGAGAACGGGTCTGCTGAGAGAATGGGTCTGCAGAGAGAATGGGTCTGTAGAGAGAACGGGTCTGCTGAGAGAATGGGTCTGCAGAGAGAATGGGTCTGCAGAGAGAATGGGTCTGCAGAGAGAACGGGTCTGCAGAGAGAATGGGTCTGCAGAGAGAACGGGTCTGCTGAGAGAATGGGTCTGCAGAGAGAATGGGTCTGTAGAGAGAACGGGTCTGCTGAGAGAATGGGTCTGTAGAGAGAACGGGTCTGCTGAGAGAATGGGTCTGCAGAGAGGAATGGGTCTGCAGAGAGAATGGGTCTGTAGAGAGAACGGGTCTGCAGAGAGAATGGGTCTGCAGAGAGAATGGGTCTGCAGAGAGAATGGGTCTGCAGAGAGAATGGGTCCTGCAGAGAGAACGGGTCTGCTGTGAGAATGGGTCTGCAGAGAGAATGGGTCTGTGGAGAGAATGGGTCTGCAGAGAGAATGGGTCTGTAGAGAGAATGGGTCTGCAGAGAGAATGGGTCTGCAGAGAGAACGGGTCTGCAGAGAGAATGGGTCTGCAGAGAGAACGGGTCTGCAGAGAGAACGGGTCTGCAGAGAGAACGGGTCTGCAGAGAGAATGGGTCTGCTGAGAGAATGGGTCTGCAGAGAGAACGGGTCTGCAGAGAGAACGGGTCTGCTGAGAGAATGGGTCTGTAGAGAGAATGGGTCTGCAGAGAGAACGGGTCTGCAGAGAGAACGGGTCTGCTGAGAGAATGGGTCTGTAGAGAGAACGGTCTGCAGAGAGAATGGGTCTGTAGAGAGAATGGGTCTGTAGAGAGAACGGGTCTGCAGAGAGAATGGGTCTGCAGAGAGAACGGGTCTGCAGAGAGAATGGGTCTGTAGAGAGAATGGGTCTGTAGAGAGAACGGGTCTGCAGAGAGAATGGGTCTGTAGAGAGAACGGGTCTGCAGAGAGAATGGGTCTGCAGAGAGAATGGGTCTGCAGAGAGAATGGGTCTGTAGAGAGAACGGGTCTGCAGAGAGAATGGGTCTGTAGAGAGAACGGGTCTGCAGAGAGAATGGGTCTGTAGAGAGAACGGGTCTGCTGAGAGAATGGGTCTGCAGAGAGAACGGGTCTGCTGAGAGAATGGGTCTGCAGAGAGAACGGGTCTGCTGAGAGAATGGGTCTGTAGAGAGAACGGGTCTGCTGAGAGAATGGGTCTGCAGAGAGAACGGGTCTGCAGAGAGAACGGGTCTGCTGAGAGAATGGGTCTGCAGAGAGAATGGGTCTGCAGAGAGAACGGGTCTGCAGAGAGAACGGGTCTGTAGAGAGAACGGGTCTGCTGAGAGAATGGGTCTGCAGAGAGAATGGGTCTGCAGAGAGAATGGGTCTGCAGAGAGAACGGGTCTGCAGAGAGAATGGGTCTGCTGAGAGAACGGGTCTGCAGAGAGAACGGGTCTGCTGAGAGAATGGGTCTGCAGAGAGAATGGGTCTGTAGAGAGAACGGGTCTGCTGAGAGAATGGGTCTGTAGAGAGAACGGGTCTGCTGAGAGAATGGGTCTGCAGAGAGAATGGGTCTGCAGAGAGAATGGGTCTGCAGAGAGAATGGGTCTGCTGAGAGAATGGGTCTGCAGAGAGAATGGGTCTGCTGAGAGAATGGGTCTGTAGAGAGAACGGGTCTGCAGAGAGAATGGGTCTGCAGAGAGAACGGGTCTGCTGAGAGAATGGGTCTGTAGAGAGAACGGGTCTGCAGAGAGAATGGGTCTGTAGAGAGAACGGGTCTGCAGAGAGAATGGGTCTGCAGAGAGAACGGGTCTGCAGAGAGAACGGGTCTGCAGAGAGAACGGGTCTGCTGAGAGAACGGGTCTGCTGAGAGAATGGGTCTGCAGAGAGAACGGGTCTGCAGAGAGAACGGGTCTGCAGAGAGAATGGGTCTGCTGAGAGAACGGGTCTGCTGAGAGAATGGGTCTGCTGAGAGAATGGGTCTGCTGAGAGAACGGGTCTGCTGAGAGAACGGGTCTGCTGAGAGAATGGGTCTGCAGAGAGAACGGGTCTGCTGAGAGAACGGGTCTGCTGAGAGAATGGGTCTGCTGAGAGAACGGGTCTGCTGAGAGAACGGGTCTGCTGAGAGAATGGGTCTGCAGAGAGAACGGGTCTGCAGAGAGAACGGGTCTGCAGAGAGAATGGGTCTGCTGAGAGAACGGGTCTGCTGAGAGAATGGGTCTGCAGAGAGAACGGGTCTGCAGAGAGAACGGGTCTGCAGAGAGAATGGGTCTGCAGAGAGAATGGGTCTGCAGAGAGAACGGGTCTGCTGAGAGAATGGGTCTGCAGAGAGAATGGGTCTGCAGAGAGAACGGGTCTGTAGAGAGAATGGGTCTGCAGTGAGAATGGGTCTGCAGAGAGAATGGGTCTGCAGAGAGAATGGGTCTGCAGAGAGAATGGGTCTGCAGAGAGAATGGGTCTGCAGAGAGAATGGGTCTGCTGAGAGAATGGGTCTGCAGAGAGAATGGGTCTGCAGAGAGAACGGGTCTGCTGAGAGAATGGGTCTGCAGAGAGAATGGGTCTGTAGAGAGAATGGGTCTGCAGAGAGAATGGGTCTGCAGAGAGAATTTGTCTGCAGAGAGAATGGGTCTGCTGAGAGAATGGGTCTGCAGAGAGAATGGGTCTGCAGAGAGAACGGGTCTGCTGAGAGAATGGGTCTGCAGAGAGAATGGGTCTGTAGAGAGAACGGGTCTGTAGAGAGAATGGGTCTGCTGTGAGAATGGGTCTGCAGAGAGAATGGGTCTGCAGAGAGAATGGGTCTGCAGAGAGAATGGGTCTGCAGAGAGAATGGGTCTGCAGAGAGAACGGGTCTGCAGACCCGTTCTCTCTGCAGAGAGAACGGGTCTGCAGAGAGAACGGGTCTGCAGAGAGAATGGGTCTGCAGAGAGAATGGGTCTGCAGAGAGAATGGGTCTGCAGAGAGAACGGGTCTGCAGAGAGAATGGGTCTGCAGAGAGAATGGGTCTGCAGAGAGAACGGGTCTGCAGAGAGAATGGGTCTGCAGAGAGAATGGGTCTGCAGAGAGAACGGGTCTGCAGAGAGAACGGGTCTGCTGTGAGAATGGGTCTGCAGAGAGAATGGGTCTGCAGAGAGAATGGGTCTGTAGAGAGAATGGGTCTGTAGAGAGAATGGGTCTGCAGAGAGAATGGGTCTGTAGAGAGAATGGGTCTGCAGAGAGAATGGGTCTGTAGAGAGAATGGGTCTGCAGAGAGAATGGGTCTGCAGAGAGATGGGTCTGTAGAGAGAATGGGTCTGCAGAGAGAATGGGTCTGTAGAGAGAATGGGTCTGCAGAGAGAACGGGTCTGCAGAGAGAATGGGTCTGCAGAGAGAATGGGTCTGCAGAGAGAACGGGTCTGCAGAGAGAACGGGTCTGCTGTGAGAATGGGTCTGCAGAGAGAATGGGTCTGCAGAGAGAATTTTGCCGCGATCCCAACTGTCTGTTATCAGCCTGCAGCCAGGGAGGAGAGATCAGCAGAGCTGCATGCACTGAGTGTGTGAGGAAGTCCGTGGATTGGTCAATTTGGACCAATCAGCGGGGGCTTAACGTAACGGCTCCGCGGACGTAACGTAACGGCTCCACGGATTGGTCCATTTCGTTCCGGGTACGGATGACATCATGTGTACCCGGAAGAATCAAATGGACAGTGACGTATCTCCAACGAGGCGTTTTGGGGAGGTATTTTCTGTGTTAGAGTTTTACTCCCTACATGGTGTACTTTGAGGGTTTTGACTCTGCACACCGTTTACATGCATAAAAACATTCATAACACACAAGGGGACGGGTACTAACCGGAAAAGCATTTCCCTGCCATGGTCTTTATTTCATTTCATTTCAAACCTATATTTAACCAGGTCGGTCCCATTGAGATAATTGATCTCTTTTTCAAGGGAGACCTGCAGGTCTGGGAGATAATCAAATGTATTTTTGCTTTCGACGATTATTAAAAAAAGATAATTAAGATAAAACACACACTAAGATATCCCTTTGTAAATATATGTCTATGGTTTGATTCAAAACGACCAAGATGTTGGATGAATGTATTTAAGCCCCCAGAATCACAGCCCAATTCAGTGACATGTAACGTATGTGGAACTTACTGTGACGAATACTGAGGCCAGCAGGAGCCCGACAGAGAAAATGAGTCCTCTGCTGTTGAGATGGATCTGAGGAGAGAAACAGAGGTTACAGCAAAAGCTGCCTCTGACCTGACACACACACAAAACATCCTGTATTTATGACTTGTATTACACCTATTAGAATCTATTGTTCTCCTCCTGTGAAGAGTAATCAACGGAGCACATGCTATCTTCTGAGTGTTAGGTGATAAACTGCAGTGCGTGGGTGTCTTTGTGTACGACTCCTAGCTGTTCTGCACTGAATATGACAGACTAACGTCCTTCATGAACACAGCTGTTCTATTCTGGTCGGAGTCCAGCAGAACTCCCTCTGGAGAGCACTCACGGTAGAGCCGTAGTCGACGCAGAGCGTCTGCACCGCCCAGGGCAGACCCCAGGCCCACCAGGATGTCAAACACATTACTGCCGATGGAGTTGGAGATGGCCATGTCCCCCAGACCTGAGGCAAGGAGAGCAACACTGTCAGGTCTGTACAGTCTCGAGACGAGTCATGATGCAAGCTGCTGAGTGACGCCACTCCTCCTCTAAACAGCACCTCACTCAACACAAATATGTACTTCCTGTGTGTGTTTACCTTGCCGTGCGACTATAAGACTCGCCATGCAGTCTGGGACGCTGGTGCCTGCTGCTAGGAACGTGATGCCCATGATCACATCTGGGATGCCCAAAGTGAAGCCTATCACAGTCACCTGAAGAGAATAGGATATTAATACATAGTTCAAAAGTGTGAAGGCTACATTAGGAACATCTGGGATTGAATTAAATAGGTGTAACAGTTAGTATGAAGCCTTTTACACTGAACAACTGTAGCTTGATAATTAAAAAAAAGACGTCAGTGATTCTGATCCTGTTTGGATTTGTCAGGTAAGAATTCATTCAAATCTTAATAATTCTTACCCACCAAGGTATATATTTAAATATAAATGCTATTTACAGAAGTGCAGAGTGCACATTTGAACATTTAACTTAAAATGCATAGATCCTTTATTTATTTCATTCTAAAATTGAGCAATTGTCATAACCGACGCCTCTGGAGTTGTTTTCCAAACTTAGTAATATCCCTTCAAACCAATCGGGGGAATCACTTCCGAGTGTGTTATAAGCTAAACGTTCATTATGTCACAGGCTAACGTGACTTCCTGTTATAATGTGAAAGTGCAGATGCTGTCTGCAATTTAAGATTTTCAAAAAATAACCCTTTTATCGTCCTCTGCATATAAATATTCTCATTACAAAATCAAAGAGTTTAAACCTTTTTTGTACAGTCCCAAAAACTAAGGATTAGAACCTTCAAGTTTTATGCAGGCAATTATTTCAATGGTTAAAGATCAGCACGTGTTTTCACTGACCATCCAGACCATGATGTAGGAGAGGCCAGCGATCCAGATGGTGGCGGTGAAGAAGGAGACCATGAACCACCTCTCCCAGCGCCGCTTGGCACAGTTGGGCACGGTGAAGAACAGAAGCAGAGACAGCGGCCACATGGTGATCCACTTCAGCTTGTTCCCCGCCCCGGCTGGAGGGAGAGAAGACGGTGATGGGACAATGAAATCATGATGTGTTCCGTGGTAGCACTAAAACCAAACATCAGAAAGTCATCAGTACCTGGAATTTTGAAAGGCACCGAGGGGCCGGAGTCTCCATCTTCCCCCTCTCCCTCCTCGTCGTTCTCGTTGTTCTCGTTATCCTCGTTCTCGTTCTCTGTCTCGTTCCCAGACTCCAGTCGCTGGAGTGTACACCTGCCGTTCAGACCCTGCTCAGCTCCGCCCATCCCGTTCTCTAAGCCCCGCCTCCCCTGAGCCCTGGCGGCAGAGTCGGAGTCGCCGTTGGTGATGCGGTTGACCCGAGTCTCACTGGTGTTGATCAGTCTTTGTCTCTGGAAGGGAATATAGAACATGAGTATAGAAAACATTAAGATAACGTTCATTAACGCGTTTCCAAATGCTGTTTAATAGCACGAATAGCAGTGCGTCAGATACATTTTGTCTTCATTTATTTATACCATATAAACAAAAGCCTCCCATATTTGTCTGAAGCAGAAGTTAATGTTGTTTCTCTTCTTTCAGACAAAATGGGTTTGTTTGGCTTGGACTCACTGCAGGCTGTATTCAGCAGCAGACAGGTGCCTGAGAGAAAATGTTTAAAGTATCATTTATTCCACTTCCTGTTGAGGCCACCCAGGGTTATTCAGTTATGCTAAGATGCTGGTTTGGAAGGGATTTCTCAAAGTAACTGACTTTTTGCTTGAGGGTAGCTTTGCCGCTTCTCAACTTTTTAATGTATTTGTAATAGTTTGCACCTTGTTTAACTACACAACTCAATATAGAGTCCAACCGGTTTCGTTTAGCCGGTATTTACCGGACTTTGACTGGAAGAATCTGTAGAAGTCTGGCAAATTTAAATCCCTTGGGTCGTATTGTCCGGTCTGACACAAATTAAATGAAAGTGTATTTAAAAAAAGTCAGAGCAGACTAGCCGCTCGCACCGATGCCAAAAGAGTGCACCGAGATGCCATCACTGTGAGGACAGCGCTCATTGTGCCGCCGGGCGCACCAGAATGATGCTTCGGGACCATGTTTTTCAGAGGAAACCATTTTGTGATGCACACGCACTTACTGCTTAGCAGTGGTGACCATAGACTGTATATATCCACTGTACAAGCAATACATGACTAATATATATAGGTGACACTATGCAGACTCACTTTTTTCAATAGTAATTTTCAAAAAACCAACATGCATTGATGATGTCATTACATATAAAGCCTTTTTATCAATGGTTTTCAAGCTCAAAAATAAACAGCGATAACATCTGAACAGAATATTTCCCTACTGTCCAGTAAATTGAAATCTAACCGGTCACGTTGACCAGCACAACAACGGAAACGCTGGTGTACACAGTATCACAGTGCATGTGCACGTGTGGTGTATATGTAGTGCTATACACCTGTCTCGTAAAATAGGATCCTGTGTTGAATCCCAACAGAGCCTCAAACCAGAGTTGTCTATATGTCAAATCATCAAGATCTGCACTTGAAGTCGGCACAGCAATGCAAAATACAGCACCTGACCCGCCCCCTGACATTTGACAAATCAGTTTGGCAACCTGACCCGACACCAGACCCATGATCCTCTAATGCAGTGGTTCTCAAACTTTTTTCAATAATGTACACCCTTTGAAAAAAAAAATGCAGCCAAGTACCCCCTGATCAGCGCAAAAACTATTTGTTAAGGAAAAATGCCTATATAAAGAGGTACAGTACAGAGCTGCACCATCAGTGTCTGATTTATTAAAACAACAACATTGTAACTGAGAAACACTTAAATGCTACATTTCAAATGTTTACAATCCATCACTAAATTCATGGCAAACCAATTTTAACATCATGCAATAACACTAAGACGACATTAGTTGCATTGAACTGATCTTTTTAATAAGTTACTTAATGTAGTGAAACATGGGCTTGAGCTTCACTGAGGATCTTTGTCATTCTGACAGGGAGGCAACCTGCAGTTATTACACTCTGCGTTTTGAAATATGTGTAACTCTGTTCATATAAAACCCACACTGCTCAAACTTCCTTACTTTTCTCAAAATTGGTTTATTTATTCATTCATTTTGGGGCGTGGGGAATAAAGAGAAAAAATATATGAGCATTTTATGAGCATGGGATTTTGACCCCTCATTCCTCATATAAACATATGCATAATGCTGCACTATACTTTGCGGCCACAAGCCGTTGCCAAGCAACGCTTATTGTTTCGGTGTCCTTTGATAAGCAGGCAGTCATATAATTAACTAGAACAAGTTGGATCTGACAGATTTGGACTTAGACGCGAGTAAAGTCTAACCGGACGCGAGAGAGAGATCAGATCAGCTGCTGCTGACGGAGAACACGCAGCTCTGCATGATCACAGCTCCGCCGCTGTGACGGACCGTTGAGTGGAGCAAAAATAAATACACTAAGAGTTAGACCTAACACACTTAGCTAGTTTATCTACTCTGGAACTAGCTATACTAGTTATACATATATTTATTCTTTACTGTCGGATCACTCATTACAGGTTCAGCGAGCTGCACGAGACTAACGGGCTGGTCAGGAGAGGGAGAGGAAAAAGAGAGCACCCCGTTTATTGTTCCCATTTTATTATCCAGAATTACTGTAGACTTTTGAATAAAGTAGTTCATCTACTATTAGTAGTTTGTTTAAATGCATTGCTTATGTTGTTTTTTCATTAACATAAAATAAATCTCACGTACCCCCTGCAGTACTGCAACGTACTCCTAGGGGTCCGCGTACCCCCATTTGAGAAACCACTGCTCTAATGCACCGAACCTTGGAGAGTACTTGTGCAAGTGTATTGATGCATATAGAGGATTAAATTAATTAGGGTGAATGCAGCACAGGGGTTCATTAAGCGTAAACCAGTAAAATCAGAGGGTCAGCTTTATGATCCCTCCTCCTGCAGTGGAGAAACTAAACTTAAAATTGCTCCTGTTTTGGATATAGTGGATAATAATTTGGATAACGAATGTACCTCGTTGATGAGCATGCGAGAGGCCATGGTGAGGCGGGTCCTAGGGGAGAAGTGACTAGTGATCATGATCCTCATGCCGGCCTCAGAGAAAGACAGCTGGTGTGGGGTACGCAAACAGCAGCTCATCCACCATCAGCACCGACGGCGGTACAGTGGAAGTTAGCTAGAAAGACGAGAACACACACACACACACACACACACACACACACACACACACACACCACACACATTGACCTGACTGTAGTGCTGGTGGTTTGCTTAATCCAACTGAAAGCACAATTAGTCATCAGTCAAAAATCATGTGAAAGTAATTCTTATGTTTTTTTGTATTAAAAAGCAAGAAACATAATGTTTAAGGGGAGAAAAGGTGTTTTTTGTATGTATTGCTAACATTGTCTTATTATTGAAAGAATGGAAAAAAGAAAGAGTGAAAAAGTGTTTTTCCGCCTCTGCTCTCCAAAGCCTCTTCATGGGTGGTACTGGTTTGATTGTCAGCTGAGTCAGACTGTGCTGCTGACTCTAGCTAACAGGCTAATTAGCATCTAAACTGACCTGAACATGCAGGTAAGTTTTCAGGCTGCTAGATGTGCTGCAGCTAATGAGCTATCTCTCTATGTTGCAAGAGAAAGTGTCACTGAGAGTTATTTCCTCGAGCAAAAAGCCATCCCGGGCAAAAGATAGTCTTGAGTAAGCAAAAAAGTAGAAAGGTACTGCCTCATTTTCACTTTCTTCAACAAGCTTGCAATGTCAGAACACCATTTGAATTCATCCACTGGGTTCCACGTTTGGATGTGATCCCAGCCTTTTTTAACAGGCCTGGAAGATGAGAGGTCTGGTTCTATAGGCCTCAGCAGACTGCGGCACTGTGAGATCCATTGGCTGAGTACACATTGGTCGACAGCTCATTTCGCTGTCCCTTATGTCCTTTCTTTGGCTTATTAAAAACTAATCTACGCACTGTCAACCTTCAACCTGTCAACATTCACAATATCAGCCATAATCGGTTCATTTCCCTCCAAGGCTTTACATCAATTTGAAACCTTGAAGTGGACTTCGACAATGAAGCTGGGTATGCTTTAGGGCGGGGCTACCTTGTGACTGACAGATGGCTTTCACGGTGTTGTCCATGTTTTCATCTTAGAACTTTAACCCTTTTTGCAAAATGATTTTGGTTCGTGAAAGTGAATTGTATTAATGTTAATTAATAATTACTTTAACTTTGACCTTGATGATGTTGGGCTTTCAACGTGCCACCTATCAGATAACAGATAACAGTTTTCACCAAATGGCACTGCACCCAAACTCGCGGTGAGCACAGAGCAACATCGTGTATCATGTATGCAGTTTTAGGGTTGGTTGAACTAAGATCCTCCCTGTTGTGTCACTTGCGTGAAAATAACAAGATAGCAACAGCCACAAATAGTGCTGCGTACCGGTACGCCGAACCGGTACTGGACTTGTAAAAAGTTTCGGTTCAAGTCCGGTTAAAACCGGAACGTCGGGAACCGGTACTTGGACTCGCAAAAAAACTAGCACTTACGTATATTCTGGTGTCTGTGGTTATTTAAACATTCCTTGATACACGTTATTCAGCGTCAATAAATGAGTGCTAATCCCAGTGTGCTCAGTGTACAACATCACATGTCATTTCACCTTCGATTCACGGTTTGAAAACGTAGCATTTCGCCACATGCTAATGCTAACCGGAAGTGAAGAATTTTCAGAATAAAAGTATTAAATTAATAGTGTGAACTTCCGGTTTCTTCAGAATAAAACTGATTTAAATTAAATAGTGTATTTAATTCAAAATTACGCCATATCAACATTGATTTTAATTTCTAACAGTATGTATGTACATCACTATGTATGTAGTATGTACTGTATAATGTACACATGTAGAGTTGTAGAAAATACATGGTGTACAGACAGTACAGTACACTCTGACTGTACAGTCACTACAGTGTAGCCTATACTGTATAGTAGGTGTGTAACAGTGTAATGCGTATAGTCTACTCTACACTCTTCCTTTCAGCAACGTTTTAGGGATTTAGGCTCAGTCAGCTCAGGGACTGTTTGGTTACTTTAGTTTGGTAAATGAAATAAATGTTTGAACTTTGTAGTAGTTCACTGTAGTTGCTGTCATAAGTCATTTGTAGACTAAGTGGCAAAAAGTGTTTTTTTTTACATTTGTACTTTGTAGAGAAATGTAGACACAAGTTGGAAGGGAGCACAATAAACCTGACGAGTTTGAATTTGAGTTGATTATGAGTTAATTTCAATTGATAATTAGCTCACAATAAGTTCACTTAGTTACTCACACAACTTGACACAAGCCATGGGTTCAGGTCCGGACTTATAAGTCCGGACCTGAACCTGAACCTCTGGACTTGAGTCCGGACCTGAACCTGAATGTGAGTCCAGGTACGCAGCACTAGCCACAAACCAATGGTCATGGCTACGTCTTCTTCCACAGTCTAGGATTTTGATGCAGCCCACTTGAACACATCGGCCCTGTCCACCATCTGCTCAAACAACCGCCACCCATGTTCTCTCGGGGCATCGCTCTGAGAATCACATGCAGAACAAGCTGACGGAGCAGGCTGGGCTAATGCTGGTTGGAGGCTGGGAGGATGAACACAGGCCTTACCCAGCATCTTGTGCCACTCTCTTTTAGCTGTTGTTGTGTCCCACACTATACTTTACCTTTAAGGGCAGAGAGACAGAAAATGGTCTACTTATCAGAACCAGATACCACCACAGAGGAGTGCTGTGGTGTTGCTGAGCGGAAGGCATTCATTGTATTATTTCTTCTTCTCGCCTACAAGCCCTTAATGGCCAGGCGCCATCTTACCTTAAAGAACTCATTATACCCTACTGTCCTACTAGGGCATTGCGTTCCAAGAATGCAGGGTTGTTGGTTGTTCCTAGAGTCTCTAAAAGTACAATGGGAGCCAGAGCCTTTTCTTATCAAGCTCCACATTTGTGGAATCAGCTTCCAGTTTGTGTTCGGGCGGCAGACACCCTATCCGTTTTTAAGAGTGCGCTTAAGACCTTCCTTTTTGATAAAGCTTATAGTTAGGGCTGATTAGATTCAGCCCCTAGTTTTGCTGATATAGGCTTAGTTTGTCGGGGGACATCTTACTTCTTCCTTCTCTCTGTCTATACCTGTGTACTCTCATGTTCCGATTAACCCAGCTTCCCCAAATGTCTTTCTTTTTGGTGTCTATATACGCCGGGATCCGGAGTCATGGATGATCCTGCAGTCCTGTGTCCTGGATTGCGAGCCCTGGATCTTGAGTTGTGGCTGTGGTCCTGGATCATAAGTCCTGGATGGATATCCTCGTGGATTCATCTTCCTATTATACACACATGCATTTCCAAACATTTGGACTACCTATGTTGCAAATGTATTATCTTTTCAATTTACACACGGTATCTATTGCACGTCTGTCCGTCCTGGGAGAGGGATCCCTCCTCTGTTGCTCTCCCTGAGGTTTCTCCCATTTTTCCCTTTAAACTGTGGGTTTTCTCTGGAAGTTTTTCCTTGTACGATGTGAGGGTCTAAGGACAGAGGGTCTAAGGACAGAGGGTGTCGTATTGTCATACTGATATTCTGTACACACTGTGAAGTCCACTGAGACAAATGTAACATTTGTGATATTGGGCTATATAAATAAACATTGATTGATTGATTGATTGATTGATTGATGTTAATTCTGCATAATCCAGACATTTTGGGAGTGACCATGCGGCCTACTCCATGCCTGAAAAGAGAAGCCAATGCAGAACGGTCTTTAATGTTCATTTTTAACAATCAACAGGTGTGACTACAAGTGGTTGAAGAAGGAGGCAGATTGTATAGAAGTGTAAGAGAAAATTACCCCACTTCCGTTGATGGTCTTTACTTCCGGTTTCAAGTGTTCTTACGTACAAAATGATGTTCATTTTAGTAATGTATGGTCCTATTCAGGGTAAACAGGATTATAAGAGGCGTATGCTCACAACTTTTACCAACTTCATGGAAGTTGTTATATTTAGGTCGCCTAGATATGTCTTGTACAGCATTTTCTTGTGATTTGCTCTGCGCTCGTGTGTCAATTCTGGCTCCCAAAAGAATGCAATCGTTGATGACCAACATGCCAGAATGTTAGTCCACAAGCAGATGGTTGGACATCCATTATGGACATTATTGGACATTCATTATGTAAGGGGAACTTGATCTTTGCTTAATAGGCATTATCGCACTAAGTTCATAGCCCAAAAAAGAGACAGAACTTTGTCCATACATTTATCCTTGACTGTCTTATCCTGGAGCTGAACAAAAATAGATGTGAGTGGTGCCCTAGCTGCCTTTATGTACAGTGTGCAGAGATGAGCAGCTATGCACTCTTTAGAGGGCAAAGTCAGTATAAAATGGAGCACAATGTTCTACCTTTCTTGAGCAGGACTGCAGTCGCGTCACACGTGACATTATCCTCCAGATCAGTGCTTCCTGTCAGCCCATTGGACAGATTCACAGAACCTTTCTTTCGCCGGGCGAAGTAGCGATGCGCCCTACCGTTAAACCTGCCAATGACAAATGAATTAAGAAGGGGGCCACAACTTTTTCAACTCAATGCAACAAGAATGATCGTATACTGATGATGACACTCACTTCATGATGAGGATGTAGATTGCATACATGAGAATCAGGATAAGAGACTCCCACCTGCACACAAACACAAGGTCAGTAAAAGGTATACGGTCATAAAAAGAGGAAAGAGAGAGCATATTACTCACCAGCAAACCTCCTCATCGTATATGAACTAAAAAGGCGGGACAAGAGGACAGAAAAGAACATTAGGTGGATGCAGTATTTGAAAGTGAGATTGATTTTGCTTCTCAACATCTACTCCACTAGAGGGCATGACCAATCCAGAGCTCAGACTGACAGATAAAGGTCAAAGCATGACATTTGCTTCATTATCTTACTACTTAACTACTAGACAGTGAAAAGATAAAGTCATGGGTCAGGCTGTAACAACCTGTTCAATGGTGGCATTGTCCTGCTGATTTATACATGTATGAGAGATAGAGATAAAAAATAGAGATATAGTCTTAGAGAGTACTTCTTTCTCCAAACATTTATTTGCAGTTGTAGTGGAAGCCTATATTAGTGATACAAAAAAGTCCATCCTTATCTTTACGACAATTATTGATACAAATATGTAAAAACACTCATTTATTACTCAACACATTTCTGTTTAAAAATGTAAAAATCACAGCAAAATAACGATAAAGTATCAAATGTGAAATTAATTATTGGCAAAATTGCAATGCAGTGTTTTGTTCACTGTATTACATTGGATTGTTATTATACAAGCATTAATATTAACATTTGACTGTTTTAAGCAAAGACCATTTTGAGCATTGCATTAGGCATAGGTAGAAATTAAAAGAGTAGAAATAAAACAATTCTAAAATATAAATATCTGGAAAAAATAATCGGGAACACTTTATTTATCGTCATCAAAACTGTACTTTAGTTTGATGATTAGTTAATATACTTTCTAAGTGAAGTGTTTGTTTCTTTTCTTGTGTTTTGTCGGTAGATCATTTTGCCCCTTGTGAAGGTACCAGCATATTTAACCTGCTGAGAGTTATTGGATGAACTTGGCACACAGCTTCAGCCTTTCATGATGACACACTACATATTTTCATGGAACCAAAGCACATTTAAGAAATCCACATTAACAGTGGCCGAACAGTATGTTTTATTGGCTTTGTAATACATATGAAGTGCATATCGAGTGTTGATTTCAAAGCTGGGAACCATAAAATGCACTTTCAAACTGGCCTCATAGTGAGTCTTTCTGCTCTAACCACACACTTGATCATATGAATAAACCCTCTTACCACAATGAGGGCCTGTTGATGGAAAATGTGGTAATAAGTCGAATCTCGGAGTAGAGCCCAGTGAGAGAGCTTCACTGCCTGCAAGGGAAAAAAGGGAAAGCGGAGATAAGGACAACGATAAGTACGCAAGTCGTAGTCTTATAATAACACTCATCCTCGCTGAAGTTACCGCAGCACGGAGATACAGAACCGCCCTCTGAGATCATTACCATACTGAGGTCAACACGGGAGCTGACCTCCTGACTCACAATTATTGAAAAAGTCAAACGAAAGGTACCATCCTACGTGGGAAAGGTGCCGATGTGTTTATGTAATCAGACACAAGGGCAGGAGCCCACAGTGCAGTGACTAACTAACGCTGGATCACTCCCCCTCACACACTCATACTGGGGGGGGGGCTTGGGGATCACGTGATCAGGATGCAATAAAAGGAACGTGTATTATTTGTACAGGTAACTAGTCATTGGACTACAAACAGAATACATTTTAAAGTAACCCCCCCAACCCTGCCTAGAAGTCCCATCTTGCATGTGCCCCTCCCAGCTGTGGAATTGTTTGCTGCTGCGAGGATAAGTTAAAGCATAACAAAGCTTTAAAATGTTTGCTTGTACTCTCTTTCACTGTAATAGTGTAGATGGAGCCCGCTCTGAACATCCTGCCAACAGTAACAAACAGTTCTGAGGTGGAGCGGGCGTACTGAAGATGATTTGACTGCCCTCCTCCCTCATTATATCACTTTGATTACGTAATGCACAACCTGGGATTGCATCACTGTTTGAGGTCCAGTGCATTATCTTTCAGAGCAGAGAGTTTATCCTTGTACTCCGCTCATTTCATTTCCATAATATATCCCGGCATGTCGGATATGATCAGAGGGAGGCTGCGCTACATCATGTTGTTTCTGCATCTCATGCAACACACAGCAGTGAGGAGGCATGTCTGGGAGTCGCAGTTATGTTGGGTCTATTAACACTGGATTGGTAATGGGCATGAAATTGTATTTTTTGGTATAACCACTTGTATAAGCAACCTTGTTGTATTTACTTAACTTGTAATTATCTACTGCAAACAAAATAACTTGTATCTGGGCCCAGACAGCGTGTGCACATGCGTTTTGTTTAAGCCAATCACTTCTGATCTGATCTGGATTCGGCTTTTAGTGCATTTTAAACTTTGACACCCTAATGATTCAACTAAGGGCTATAAAGTATCGTTAACTGTTGGCTTATTTAATTATACAGATGCATCATTCATTAGACCTAGCCGTCAGTGCAGCCATGTTCCAGTGATGTGCTTGTGTTTCTATATTTTTAGAACGAAACAAGTAAAAAGGGATTTATTTTGAACTTAGGCACGCTTAGAAGTCCCTTTTGTGTTGCAGTGTGTTGCAGCACAGAGATACAAACTGTATTGTGTTGGGACGTTGTACTTAAGGCTTGTTTAGCACATCGAGCATAAGAGCATGATAAAAGAAGAAATCAGTGATACGTTTGTCAATGTGTATTCAGGACTGTGCTGAAACGTTTTAACACTGAACTCTGTTCTTTTTCGAGAAGAAAGCCACATGAAAGATACCTGACTACTCGGTGAGAGATAAAATGATGAAAAGATGTTGTGACAGCAAAGGTTACATCTGTAGGCAAGCCCTTAGAGGCAAGTGAAAACAAAACATTCTTGAGGAACTGGTGAAACAACAAGGCTACAAGTTACTTTCTTTAAAACCCTAGCTAGAATTACCGCCTTGCAGTTGTATGTGTATCATACGTGCAAAACAGTGAAATTGCAGTTTACGTTCATGTCTTTCAAAATGTCATCACTTCATCATCATTTTATTCTGTTAGACCGTATGAAATTGTTAAAATCAGCATAAGAATACCTGGCCAAGCTTGTGTTTTGTAAGACCTAGGTGAACTAGACCTTTAGCTACATGTATTGTGTCACAGCAAGTTTGGTAATGTGACAAGCATTTCTTTAGAACATAAAGGAACGTTGAATTGCTGTCTCTTGTTGCCTTAAAAAGTATTATAACAAAAAGCAAAGGATTCTGACAAAAACAATGGCCCCATGACATCCCTGACGTCGGGCCCAAAATACTTTTTCCCATTGACTTACATTGGGAAAGGGACATCTGTAAATCAGCAGATCAACGCAGTAAATGTGCTAAAAGCTAAATCTAGTTATTATTCCTCTCAATTCATTTAACTAAGTGGAGACCGGACATGATGCTGCCGTTACACAGTGGATTGGAGGCGGGGCTAAAGGAAAACAAAAGTGTGCATGCTCTATGGAACCAATGGATGCTAAAGACTGCTGGAAGATCCAAGTATTTCTGTTCTTGAGTCAGTCCATTTTCTCTGAGAGATTAGCGGGGCCCCATCTCCTGTTCTCTTCACACATCCATGGTGAAATTGCAGGATATATCTAAACCAAATCTACATGGTTTACCCCCCCAGACCCCCCCAATAAAGCAAAACTGAACATTTTAGAGTGGCCTTTTATTGTGGCCAGCCTAAGGCACACCTGTGCAATAATCATGCTGTCTAATCAGCATCTTGATATGCCACACCTGTGAGGTGGGATGGATTATCTCGGCAAAGGAGAAGTGCTCACTATCACAGATTGTTTCAGATTTGTGAACAATATTTGAGAGAAATGGTTATTTTGTGTATAGAAAATGTTTTAGATCTTTGAGTTCATCATGAAAAATGGGAGCAAAAACAAAAGCGTTGCATTTATATTTGTGTTCAGTGTATATGCATGTACTGTATGCATGAGTACTCTCTGCCACTGGGCGTTAATGTGGCTGAACACACACTTAAAGGTGACATTAGGCTGTGGGGTTCACTCTGGTAAATGGCAGCAGGTCAGCAGCGCTCTGATGACATCATACCTGTCCAGCGAAGAAGCCGCACACACCGATGATGCAGAGGATGTTGAAGACGGCCGAGCCCACGATGGTCCCCACACCCACGTCACCTTTGGTGATGAACACCCCTGGGGAGAGAAGGAAACACACGCAGCATTATGACCCCACAGAGACACAGACGTGTTGTACACTAGCTGACCTTTCACATCGC